GTCTGTGAGGAACAGGGTTAATATTAAATGAACATGTAAAACAGATGTGTGTGTGTCTGTGAGGAACAGGGTTAATATTAAATGAACATGTAAAACAGGTGTGTGTGTGTCTGTGAGGAACAGGGTTAATATTAAATGAACATGTAAAACAGGTGTGTGTGTGTCTGTGAGGAACAGGGTTAATATTAAATGAACATGTAAAACAGGGGTGTGTGTGTCTGTGAGGAACAGGGTTAATATTTAGTGAACATGTAAAACAGGTGTGTGTGTCTGTGAGGAACAGGGTTAATATTTAGTGAACATGTAAAACAGGTGTGTGTGTCTGTGAGGAACAGGGTTAATATGAAGTGAACATGTAAAACAGGTGTGTGTGTCTGTGAGGAACATTAATAAGTGCTGAGCAGCATGGAGGACAGGATGAACCTGCACAGCTCCTTGTTTCTACAACACTTGTCATCACTGTTTACACAATAAGTGGAGTTGGTTTAGTTTACATGGAGACTGTGTGAAGAACACATTTAATTACAGTTGTTAGTCCATGTATGTGTTTGTGTTGTACGTCCCTGTTTGGCTTCATACAACCTGAAACACAACACAACTACAGTACAGGAGCCACACAAAGCACAGCACCACACAACACCTGGACCGGGTCACATCTTAGTTTAACTGATGCTGCTTGTGTTGGTCTGTTACACAACATCCACACTGAAATACTTTGTCACAAGTCATGACAAATGTTTCTGAATACTTGTTCCTGTCTCTGTATGACACGTACTTTGTACTTTAAGATGATTTAACTACGAGTATTTAAGTCATTTCAAGTAATGAAGAGCAGAGATGTAAAAACTACAGCAGCTTTATGATAAAACATTTAACTTTATTATTACAAGTGTGATGAAACTTCATCATGTCTCCAACAATATGAACTGTTTATTACATGTTGCACACACAAATATCTGAATCTCTTTGTGTTTTTATTTTAACTGAAGTGTTTTTTTTTTCTCCACAGGTCTTGTCAAACTGGATCAGATGGATCTGAGGAGCAGTTTCATGTTGAGGACATCAGTCAGATGATTTGAAATAAATTTGTTTTCAAATGAGTTTGGCCCTCCTATTTTATTTTTCTTATCTTACAAACCTCTAGTGTTTAGACATGGAACTGCATCCAGCATCGCTGGATGCAGTTCCATGTCTGAACACTAGAGGAGCTATAGAGCCTAATAGGATGCAGTTCCATGTCTAAACACTAGAGGTTTG